CTTTGGTTCAACTCAAATTCTAGTTTTGCCCAGAAAGGTGGAGTCTTTGGACCCCTTCCTACATAGCAGGGGTCATGACACAAGACTTTCCAAAAACAAAGGTAGTTTTCAGAGAAAGAAATGGGAGCTGGGTGGCTGGACACACCACCCTATCCAATAGAAGTGTGAATAGAGTACTACTCCCTAAATTTAAGAAATCCTATGTATTTTCTGAATTTTCACTCCTGACTTTCTGAAAAAAATTTTAATTTTCACCTATTGATTCAGTAGAATAAATAGTACTCACTTCTCTCAAAATTCTCCCTACTTGAATGATAAATGTAGACGTAGCAGGTATGCACTAGAATCAAATTTTTCTTTATTTCAAGGTGGTGGTGTCGATAGAGTGGTTCAGTTGACTAATGTATGACATGACATCCTTCCAATGCAGCTATATTTAAATATACTTAAATCTGTATGGGAACCGATCTAGCAGCAGTGAACTAAAAATTAGTAGATTTACCACTAATGGCACTGAGAAAGGCATGAGAATTACAGAAATAAGGGATTTCAGTGGAGAAATGGATTCAAACTATTAGAATAGTGGGGAAAGACTCTTACTGTGAAAAGCTTTGTTGACATTAAGGTCTGCTGGCTTTTTCTGAGCCCAGGACTTTCTGCAGAGACTTTTGGAGCAAGTGGTAAAGCAACTGGTGAAAATCATAAGCTTGGAGCAATCTCCACTGAGTGAGGAAAAATGTTTTAAATACATTGGCTTCAACTGATCCATTTGCTTCTACAATGGTCTCTATAATGAGATTTTCTTACAATTTAATAGAGATGGTCAATTGCCCCATTGCACAGAACTCTTAGGAAGTCTTTCTAGCATTTTTCCTAATTAGAGAATATACTGCCACCAACTGAATTTTTCACACTGATGGGGTCAACTACTCCTTTCACCTAATGTAACCTTTCCCTAGAAAGGCATTAAGTCATCATTAACAACAATGAAATCACCATATTCAGTAGCAAATGTTAAAGTGAATAATTTGGGTACAATTTACTTTTAATACAGGCAAATAAAAAACTTGCACAAGTTTGCTGTGAATTACATTTTGATTTCACTGTAGATATCAAATATAAGGAGTTGTCCTGAATCCCTCTGAGCTGGGTGAGATTTCTATCAGATAAGAAGCCAAATCTTAGTGAGGCTTATACTTAAAACTACTTGGCAAATATAAATGAACTTTTAATAATTAAATCTAATGATTACATGCAATCACTCTGAGAAACAAGCTGCATTTTCAACTAGATTTGGAGAAGAGACTTTGTGGGGACATTAGGACCCATTATCACAGCACACTTGGGCTTTGAGAAGTCAAGCAGGAACTAGCCATGTCCAAAGTCCTTCTCAAAACTGCTTTTATATGACCACTTCCTTTAATACTTTTACTTACTCCATTTATTATTTATTTATTTAATTTTTGAGATGGAGTCAGTCTCACTCTTTTTGCCCAGGCTGAAGTGCAATGGTTCTATCTTGACTAAATGCAACCTCTGCCTTCCGGGTCCATGCAATTCTCCTGCCTCAGTCTCCCAAGTAGCTGGGATTACAGTCATGTGCCATCATGCCTGGCTAATTTTTGTATTTGTAGTGAAGACGGGGTTTCACCATGTTGTGCAGGCTGGTCTCAAACTCATGACTTCAGGTGATCCACCCAATTCAGCGTCCCAAAGTGATGGGATTGCTGGCATGAGCCACCACATCTGGCCTATTTACTCCATTTTTTAAATGTCTTCTTTAGCCTTCTAAGGAGAAAACAAAGGAATCACAGGTCCATGTCAGAAGCTACGGACTTGCCAAGGCTTTTCTACAACGTACATGTGTAAAAAAAAATTGCCAAAGTAGAAACATTCTACAATTCCATTGACATCAACTCAAACTGCACAAAATTATCCAAAAATGAAAAATATATTTAAGGGATATATACAATAAATTAAAGGTATATTTTGTAACAGGTGGAAAGTAAGTTACCTCAGGATCAAATGGAATCTAGGATTAAAACGCTGCAAAATTATTATTTCTACTTTCTGGAAAGGTCAACCTCATACTCTTCTATGGCAAACTGGCTTCCTTAATGTGCTGGAAAATACAATGGCTGACAGCTCTCAAACATGACTTCCCACCCATTGTCAGAGAGGGATTGATTTATATTATCTCTAGATGCCCAAGCTCAAACATTCCAAGCATCAGCTATGACTGGTCCTTCGTGTGTCAGGTGCTTATCCTTTTACCATCAACTATAGTCTAATATGGAGGCTATAAGAACATGGCACCCAGCATGGTGTTCACCATGGTTGGATTAGAGTTAGGAGGTAAGACACTGGAGTATTTTCCCAAAAAATACTCTGCTGGTTTCAGAAGGTGGAAGAAGTAGTGAGCAGACAATATTATACAAGTCCCTATAGCACAACAAAATAAAAAAATTATGCTCGGAGTACAAGCAACAGTTGGAGAAAAGAAGGAAAAAGAAAGACCATCAATTCCTGAGTGAAATGTGTGGCAGATTCTGAAGCATTCAGTTCCTAACATTTGTCTCCGTGGGCTGCAACCATTGGCCTAGAAAAGAAAGCATGTATCTCTGGAGTCAGCAGGATGCAAGCTAGAAGAACTGACTAAATCAGCACTTCTCAAGATTCTCCAGGCCATGGACAATGTCAAAGACAAACACTTCTAGCATCATCCAGCATACACATTCTTCAACTGTTCCTTTTAAAATACTTCTCTTGAGCAAATGAACATATATAATTCTTTGAACAAAACATAAAAATGTAATTCAGTGGTTGGGTGCAGTGGCTCAAGCCTGTAATCTCAGCACTTTGAGAGACTGAGGCGGGAGGATTGCTTAAGGTCAGGAGATCGAGACCAGCCTGGACAACATGATGAAACCCTAGGTCTACTAAAAATACAAAAATTAGCTTGGTGGTTCAGGCCTGTAATCCCACCTATTGGAGGCTGAGGCACGAGAATCACTTGAACTAGGAAAGTGGAGGTTTCAGTGAGCCGAGATTGCACCACTGCACTCCAACCTGGGCCACAGAGCAAGGCTCTGGCTCAGAAAAGAAAAAAGAGAAAAGAAATGTAATTCAAACACAAAGTAATTTTTAGACAAAAATTGATACTAGCCTATATAGATAAGCCTACAAATGGGAGGTCACCATCCATGATCTCGGGTTTACCCAGGCATTCTATAGTCACGACCAGTCATTTTCAGAACAAATTATTAAGATCCTCTGTAATGTGTCCTTACCACACACACACACACACACACACACACACACACACAGGGGCGCGCACACTCAAATTACCACCTTCCAGGCAAACTAGATGTTTTGAATTGCTAATGGTGCAATTTAAGGCACTGTAGGTGGTATATTGTAAGTCTCTTTCAAATAATGAAGGATGGACCTGTTAATGAGGGATTCTTCACAGGTTAAAGAAGGAATCATTTCTAAAAAGCCCAGAGGAATTCTAGACTTCAAAGCTGCATTTTTCACTCTGTTTGTAATCATTAGGTCCCATGAACAGAAACTTAAAATCATAAGGTACCAGGAGATAATGGGGATTTCTAATTTACTAAAGTTAAAATGTCTAGGCTATCTTTATGTTATACTGCAGTATCATGAAAAATGAGGTAAAACAAAAACAATCATAAAAAATTAAAGTGAAACAAAAGATCACTTAACTTATGAATTTTTAAAGTATGGGTCCAGGTTAGCTAAGCTTCCCTTTTAACTATGACTTAGACTTTTGGGGAGCCCCTGCTGAGAAATAGATGTCTTACTAGATATCTCAGAGTTACAACTAAGGTAGAAAGCATTTTGACATAAATATGTATGTTTTTATTCATAAAAAGATATTTATTATGTTTATTATTCATATTTCTCCTAGGGCAGGTCAGAACACTTTCTCAAGCTGTTTTCTTGACGCAAAAATATCCATTGCACATCCAGAGACACATACACACTATCAGAAAGCAATATCTATGTGGCATCTGGTTACATGGTATTTTAGTCTGTTTTCTGTTGCTGTAACGTAACACCACAGAACAATTTATTTTCTTGAAAAATTAAGTGTATTTAGTTCATGGTTGTGGAGGCTGAGAAGTCCCAGAGCATGGTTCTGGCATTTAAAGGAGGCCCTCTTCTTGCATCATAACATGGCAGAGGACATCACAAAGTGAAAAGGCAAGAGTATGCCATCTCAGCTCCCTCCTCCTCTTCTTATAAAGCCATCAGTCCCATCATGGGAGCCCCACCTTGATGACCTTACCTAATCCTAATTATCTCCCAAAGGTCCTACCTCCAAATACTATCAGTGTATGAATTTGGGGATTAAGTTTCCAACACATGAGATCTGGGAGGCACATTCAAACTGTAGCATATGGTAATATCTATCAGCTTCAGTCTTTTAGATTTCCTTTAGGATCATGGCAATCATAAGTATATGCCACAGACATCAGAATTCTCTTTGGTCATTCTTACTATGTCTCTTATACAGGAAAGCAGGTAGATACAGAAAGAGGAACAATTACATATGGTTGCCTCCCTTTTCTCAAAATCACAAGAGGTGGTCTCATTAACTGTTGTGAAATTGTTTCCCTCTCAACTGGTAAATGGTTGTAATTACAGCAGAAAACCACCAGATGGCAAAATGGCAAACTCACATGAACCCAGACAATAAAAGGGTCTTCCTTTCTTTGAGGGCTTCCTTTAATAAACCTTGGCCTGCGATGGCCTGGATTGGAGGGGTCCTATGATGTTGGCTAGTCAGTGTAATTGTCGGGCTTTTCCCTTAACCCATTTATGCCTGAGATTGCAATTTTTTGAATTTTTGCAATCAGACCTTGGCGATGACATTGAGCATTAGGATATCAATAACTCCCTTATGTTTAGCATTCCAATAATGGAACACTAGCCATAATAAACCATTCCAAAAATGTGTTCTAATGGCTCTCAAGCAAGGTCCACTCGCAGTGAAATAAACCAGAGGTTTGAACCATGCCTCGATATGAAATGATTGGAAAGAATATGGCAATGACAGCCACAATGCCAGTAAATAAGTTAGTATTTGGAGGACTCAAAAGGGTGGATCCGAGAGTGGGGAATGAATATAGAAATCTCTAGCCTCTGGAATAGCATTATGTAAAAGCTCTGGAAAAGATGGTTTCTCAAAAATCCCATTTTCGTGTTAAATCGTTCTCTCATCTGGGCACTCGTCTTCATAACTAATTTAAGTCCCTCTATTTGCAGTTTAAGCCTCTCTCCTTTCCTCCAGTTAACAGGAGGCTTTGAAAACGAAATATCTTTTAAAATTATTCACAAATATTCTGATGGGACACCAAGCACACCACTTCCATATCAGATGCATTAACTTACTCATATTTTATGCATATAACTTTATATATCTATTATGAGGCAGAAAAATGATTCTGGAGAACTATGTGAATTACCTATAACTTGAATTGCAACCTAAATGATATCACTATTATTCAAGGATTTTTACTGAATATGTTTTATTTCAGCTTTAAAAGCATATTATATTTGATTTAAATGGAGTAATAAAGAGAAGTATTCTGATATAACTCTATAAATCATCAATTTAAGAGTAGATCTTAAGATTTCCTTATTTCCTTAATTTAGCAAGTGATTTCCAAGCTGGTGTATCAAGATTAGTAGCAATACACGAAAAAGGTAACATGGGCTAGTGAACCTCTTTCATTATTTGAAAAAGCAGGATAGAAATTGAGCAGTTACCAGTAAGAAGTCTCTGTCGGATAAACTATTTTTTTTTCTGCTCTGGCACAGAATTATGTCAGCTCAATTTAATGTGAAATAATGACAATAATATTAATTAATACTTATAATAGCTAATGACAAAGATGATGCTGAGTCATTTAATATTTGCAGTAATGCCATGAGTCAGGATGTCCTCATATTATGTATAACGAAACTGAGGCTAACATGTCTTTTATTCAGCAATTTGCAAGTGGTGTTAATGTTTCTAACAATTAAGCTTTACTACTGTGAGTATTTTTGGAATAATAACTATCAGAAGCTCTTTCTGATAGTCACTGTGTATAAATTTACATAGATTTTGCAGTTTATCATTGCAAACATAACAGTTCAGGGTAGTCATAAATATTGGTACATAAAATATATGAGTAAAATTTAAAAATGAATAGCTAATCTGGAAAAGTTTGGAAACCTCTGTTGTAGGCAGTGAAGACACAGCCTTCAATGAGAGAGTGTTGATTGGTGAAAGGTTTCCCAAATTTTCATAGTGATTATTGAGCAGGTTAAAATATGTACAGTGCTCCATATTACCTTTCATGCATAACAAGAATGGAAAACCATAGACCTCATAATAAGGGGCTCAGAATAGTAAGGATCCAACTCATATGTTAGATATCATGGGGGGAGGCAGGGAATGGTTTATCTTTTCATTCTCATTCTCTTTTTCTCATTTTCTTTTGCTTTTTCGTTGGGATTTTGAAGATGTTTTCTTCAACTCATCTTCCACATTTTCTCTTTTAAGGTTTTCTGCTGGGATCTTTCAAACTCTGAAGTATCTTCTCAGTTTCTGAATGTTCATTTTTTTATAGTTTTTGATTTTATAAGTGCTGTATGCTATTTTGCTTTCTAATATATAAATTTTGTTGAAATTTTCTTCTGTTTGCTGCATTATCTATTTGCTCCAAGTTTCTCTTATCATATAGATTTATTTTGATCTAAGACTTATATTAGAAGCTTTGCTCTAATATCTGGTAATCTGCTCTCTTCTCATATGTTCAGTGTTTTAATTTTTATTGAAGTATATAATCAGAAAGTGCACAAATCATAAGCATATAACAATAAATTATTACAGTAGAACACCTATGTGTAAACACCTATGTGTGACAAAGGTCATGAAATAGAACACTGTCAGTATCCCAGAAAGCTTTCTGTGCTTGTTCCCAATCACTATAACTTTCCTGTAGTTCCAGAGGTAATCACTAGTTTTCTAATACTATTAATTACTTTTGTATTTTTATAAACTGTACATAATGGAATTATGCAATATATATTATGCCCAGCTTCTTTCATTTAATGTGCGCTATTTATCCATACTGTAGCATATGGCTATAATTCTTTACTTAATTGCCTGATAGTATTCAATTCTACTGTTGATGTGTATTTGGCTTTTAATTTGGGGCGATTATGAGTAATGCAACTAGAACGTATTTATACATAACAATTTCTGGTGTGCATATGGCTATATATGCAAAGTAAAAGTAATTGATGACTGGTTATGCAAATATTCAACATCAATTTGTAATGTCTTTAAGTTTTCCAAAGTTGTACTTTTACAAGTTGTTCATAAGAGTTCCAAACTTTCCACATCCTGAACAGATTTGACATTACCTGTTTTTTCATCATTATGACTTTGTTGTACATTTCCTTGATTATCAATGATTTGAGGCCCTTTTTATATATTTATTGATCATTTTAAGATCTCTTTTGTGAAGTATTTTTTCAATTCTAATGTCCATACTTCTACTAGGTTAAAAGGACTTAGGAATTACATCTCCTTTTTGCCATTCCCTGGAATAGTATGCATGAATTTGATGTGAATGATGAAGCCACTTTATGCTTAGTTTTTAAATTGCAAATTCAATTTCTTTAATAACTATAAGACCATATAAACTTTGATTTTTTACAGTTTCAGTTTTGGTAAGATATGCTTTTTTATCTCCATTTATTCTAAACTTTCATATTTATTTACAACATTTTATCATTTTTTGGTGTCTATAAGTTAGTAGTTTTTCATCTTTTTCAGTAGTGCTATTTTTAGTGGGTTTTTTCCCTTTTTTCTTGTTACTAATGGTTTATGAGTGTTGTCATTTTTCCCTCAAGAATTAACTTTCAGTTTAGTTTATGTTAGCTTTATTTTCTATGTTATTATCTGCTCTTATTTATTCTATTTTCTGTCTTCTATTTTCTATCAGTTTTATTTTTCCTAACTTCTTGAGATTATGCTCAGCATTCTGTCTCTACCAATTTCAAAGGGTTAAAATGATATAGAATGTATTTTTAAACATAGTAAAATGTAGGTGAAATAACAAAAAGATAAATTTTAAAACTCCCTAAGTTTGGAAATTAGAAGTTTATTTCTAGATAATTCATGGGTGAAGGATGACATAACAATAGAAATTAGAAAATATATGGCATTGAATTATAAGAAACATAACATTTCTTGTAGCAAAAGCCAAACTCACGGATAATGTATAACATAAATGGAGATTTTTAAAAACTGGAAATAAATGACATTTTTTAATGTTCAAAGGATATGTTCTATATGATTTTAATTGGCAGATACAGACAACGCTGCTCAGTATATGTTTATTTTTGATAAATGCTTCTTACGTACTTAAAGTGAACACACATTCTGCATGCTATTATGTGCAGCATTCTATATATGTCAGTTGAACCATTTGTTAGTAATGTTGTCCAAACTCATACTCTTAGGAATTATTTGACCTACTTCTTCTATCATGTGCTGAGGTGGGTTAAAATTCCCCACTATGTCTCCATTTATGTGTTTTTTGGGGTTTAAGTGGTGTTTTGTACTTTCCTGGTGAAATAAACTATTTACCATTACAAAATATCTCTCTGTACATTCAAGTCTTTTTGTCTAATACCAATATAGATAGACCTTTCCTGGAGCTAGTGTGATTTTTTTTTTTTTGGCATAGTCTTTTGTGTGTGTGTACTTACTATCAATTTCTCTGTTTACTTGCATTTAAAACGTGGCTTTTAGAGTCAGAATATAGTTGGGCTTTTTAACTTTTTAATATTATCTAACACTCAGACCTTTACTTGGGGTGTTTTTTCTATTCACATGCAATGTGATGTTGTCAAAGATATATTCAGGGTTAAGGTTTTCCCCTCACTATTTACTTCTTATTTTCTTGACTGTTCTATGATTCTTTGCTTCCTCCTTTTGTTTGCTGTCTTTTGGATTAATTTTTTGTTTCTTCATTTTATTTCATTTTTTCCACTTCATTAATTTGGTAGTTATGTTTTTTAAGCTATTATTTTAGTGTTTACTCTAGATTTTGCTAAACGCATTTGATGTATCAAGTCTAACATAAATTAGTACATTTATGACTTACCAAATAATGTAGAGGTGTTACAACATTTAGCTGCAAATACCCTAGGTTATATGCTTATGCTGCAGTATATTTTAATTCTAAACACATTTTAAGCCCACAAGATATTATGATTTATAGTATCAGTGTTCATTTACTGATACTTATTTGTTATTTCTATTGCTCATTTTTCTTACTTCTGTTTATTAGCTTCAAATTTCGTTTTGAACAGGTTTGCCAATGAAAAAATCTCTCACTTTTTGTTTTTCCTAATAATGCTGCATTTCATTTTTATTTTAGAAGGGTCAGCATTTTTCCGCAAAGAACCAAATAGTAAATCTTTTAGGCTTTTGGGGTCATAATATTCCAACTACTCTAGTGCATGAAAGCATTCATACGTAATAGGTAAATGAATGAGCATAATTAGGTTTGTCGCCCCCAAAAAACTTTGCTTACAAAAACAGATAACACCCTGGATTTTGCCTGTGAATCATATTTTGCTGACCCCTTTGATAGAATACAATATTTACTTGGTATTGCATTTTAGGTCAAGAGTGATATTTTTGGAGCGCTTTTTTCAAATATGGTTATATTGTCTTCAAGGTTACAGTGTTTCTGTTGAGAAATAGCTGTTAGTCTTATTGCTATCATTTTTTTTTTCTTTTTTTCCCCCTCTAGCTGCACTTAGAATTCCTCTACGTTGAATTTCTACAATTTTTCTGTAACATTTTTAGGTTTCTGTTTTGGTTTTGCTTGGGGTTTTAATAATCCAACTATTCATTCTTAGGTTTCTTGTTTTGGTTTTTCATTAAAACTATTTGGATTATGTAGTGATTCTTAAATCCATGGGTAGGTGCAATTTTGTTGGTTTGGGAAAACTTGAGTCATTATCTGTTTGAATATCACCTTTGCATTTTACTCCCCTCTTATGTTCTTCTGGGGCTCTAGTTACCCACATTTTAGTTCATTTTACCATGTCCTATGTTTCCTAGGTAACTTTTTCTATTGTTCATCACTTGTCTTTCTGAGTTTAATTTATCAGGAGTGTTTCCTCTCTTGTTAAATCCAGTCTTTGAGTTCTCAATTTATTTTTCAGCTCTAGAATTTCATCAGTTCTTCAGAACTTCCAATTATCAGCCTAAAATTCCCAATCTGCAACTTATTTTCTTCTACTTGTTTATATTCTTGAACATGTTTTAAAACTGGTTTCTTATTATTTCATTGTTATTCCCTGCAGGTCTCTCTCTATTGTCAGATGTTTCTCTTAGTTTTGTTCCATTTGATCTTATCTCTTCCCATAGTTCAGAATATTTTATATGTAAGAAACTATAGTATTAATTTAAGGCTGCGAAAGATCATATTATCATCCTGATAGAATATATGTATGCTTTAAGAAGGTTAGCCTATTAGCAAAGACTGGTCAAATTAATCCAATCAGGGATGGAGATGAACTGAAGCTAGGTCTTAATCTTGTCAAGGACTGGTCTATTTCTAGTTTACTATTTTTTGTTTCTTGGTTTGTTTCTTTCTTGAGACAGAGAAGTCTCATTTGGTCATCCAGGCTGGCATGCAGTCGTGCGATCTCGGCTCACTGCAATTTTCGCCTCCCGGGTTCAAGTGATTCTCCTGCCTCAGTCTCCTGAGTAGCTGGAATTACAGGCGCACACCACCACACCTGGCTAATTTTTGTATTTTTAGTAGAGAAGGGGTTTCACCATGTTGTTCAGGCTGGTCTCGAACTTCTGACTTCATGATCTGCATGCCTCTGCCTCCCAAAGTGCTGGGATTACACGCATGAGCCACTGCTCCCGGCCTACTCTTATTTCTAAATAACAACCCTTTAGGGTCCCAATCCAAAGTCACCCACATCTCCTTCTCTGTGGGCCTCTAACACTAAATTTTGTCCCCCTAGTGCTATGAGTATATTGAAAGCTCACCTCATTCATAACTGACAAATGTTTCCAGAGTAGAGGTTGGGAAATTATGGCCCATTGGTCCAATCTGTTATTATCAATAAAATTTAACTGAAACACAGCCATTTATGTAATATTGTCTATGGCTACTTTTGGTGCTACAATGGCAGAGTTGATCAGTTGTGCCAGTGACCAAATGGCCTACAAAATCAGGAACATTTACTATCTGGCCCTCTACAAAATATACCTCGGTGAGGAAATGGGTCCAAAAGTCCTGAAAGTGCTCCTAGATTGGACTTAGACCTCATAATCATTTATCTTAGCAGCTCTCTGATGCATTCAAACATAATTTCTAAAAGTTCTGCCTATCTTTCTTAGGTGTTCTCAATGAGAGACTTATTCCAAAATACACAGTATACCATTACTGGAAACAGAACACCTATGAGTCTCTATTGAAGATTGATTCATTACAATCCTCAGTGCAAACTCTGCATACGTGAATATAAACAAGGATTTGTTTGACCAATGAACTTCCCAGAAATATTGGCTGGCTGAGTTCTTTTATTAGTAAATCCTCAAAATCTCACGGTCTAGAGATAGTTTCTTTTTGGCTTTTTAGTTTTTCCAGAGAGTCATCCTCTACGCCCTGTTCAGGAGCTGAGCTGGGGAAAACTGGGGAGGTGAGGTATTCTAAAAGCCCCTGTATCACTGTTGAATTGCTGTCTCGATTTCAGTATTATGCTTCCATGTTGGCCTTCATGTGCTTATGTCCCCAAATCTAGAACCCCCAAGACACACTCTCTATATAAGGAAAACTTCTACTTCTGTTAATACAGGAAGGGGTTATTTGTCTTGCTTGAGATGAGGACATGAGAGAACTTAATTGGTTTTTACTGAGACTTAGAACCTCTTATTTTTAATACTATTCTGTGCTCCCATGTTCAAGTTTCTGCCAGGTTAAATTCCTAAGTGTTTCTGGGGTTCCATGTGCAGTTAGATGTGAACTTTCTTCCCTCTCATTAGTTGCCTTGCCACTTGTCCGTTTGCATTTCCAATATCAAAATTGTAATTGGAATCTTTATCTTGTACTGCCACTTTCCCCGTTCTTTAGCTCCTTTTAGATTTATGCCTGTTTTATTTTTTATTACTATTGTAGTGAGTTTCTTGATTAAGCAGACATAAAAACACATGTTCACTTAACCATGTTTAACTAGAAATCCCTAATTCTTTACTATGAAGGTCACATGCCTTAAAATACACCATTATAATTCCATTAGGCATAAATTGTTAATTGTTTTTGTAATGGAAATAGTAATAAAGCAAACTATACTACTCTACAGCCATAATAATAAATGCGTGTAAAAAACAGGTTAAGACATCTTTTTAAAAATTAGGTAAGAAGGGTATTAAAGCATTCATGATAAAATGACTCCCTACATATTTTATTTAACGTGGAGTATTAGGTTTCTATTGCTGTACAACAAATTACTACCAAGTTAGCCACTTAAAAACGCAGTTTATTATCTGACAGTCTCTGTGTGTCAGGCATCTGGGCATGGCTTGGCTGTTTCCTCTGCCTAAGAGTCTCATGGGGCTGCAATCCAGGTCTCAGCAAAGGCTCAAATGTAGAAGTAGCCACTTCCAAACTCCTTTGGGTTTTTGGTAAAATTCATTTATTTGAGGCTGCAAGTCTGAGGGCTACAGTTTCTTGCTGGAGATCACTCTCAGCCTATACAGGCTCCTAGAGTTCTTTACTATATGGGCTTCTCTAGCATGGCCACTTACTTCCTGATGGCTTGTTCCTGCAAAACCAATGAGAGGAAATTGCACTAGTGGGTCTTCAAGCAAGATAGAGTCTTATGTAATAACAATCATGGGAGGGGAAGCCCATCACCTTTCATATTCTACTGTGTAAAAGCAAGTCACAGGGGCCGGGACTACACAAGGGCATGAATGCTAGGAAGTGAAGATCATAGATGCTACCTTAAAGTCTGTCCACCATGCCAAGGTTAAAGTCATGATGATAATGATGGGTTGTTACTACATTGTTCTTTTAAGGCTTTACATCTTTAAAATGTCTCCACACACACATGTTTTTTTCCTATGAATACATGTATAAGAGGTGTCAACTCAAACTTAGGCTGTGTTTTGTCTAGAACTCAAGGTCTTCTTTGCAAACTCAGAGATTTAGTCAGGTAGAACCCTTAAGGCACCATTTATATTGAGGAAGAAGGGGCCTTCTGATAAATAAGAGACACAGAGCTTGGTTCAAAGATAATTAGGCAGCACTGATGAGATGGTATTTTTGTTTTGTTTTGTTTTGTTTTTGAGACAGGCTCTCACTGTGTCACCTAGGCTGGAGCTCAGTGGCATGAGCTCAGCTCGCTATAACCTCTGCTTTCTGGGCCCAAATGATCTTCCCGCCTTAGCCTCCTGAGTAGCTGGGACTACAAGCATGTGCCAACATGCACAGCTAATTTTTGTATTTTTGTTTAGTGACAGGATTTCACCATGTTGTACAGGCTGGTCTCATACTCCTGGGCTCAAGCAATCTGCCTGCCTCAGCATCCCAAAGTTCTGGGATTACAAGTGTGAGCACCCAGCTGAAATAGCACAGCAACGTCAATCAAACTATCTCATAGCTTCAGGACCAAATAACAGGTTTAAGGAATGTCGGTTTTTTTTCGGTTAAGAAAACCGAAAAAAAAAAAATGAGAGCTCTTTTTTTCCTACAATTTCTTTAGGACATTCAGAATGTGAGGCATCAGCAGTTACAGCATTGGTAGTGGTGATGAAGATGTCACTGAAACAGCAACATTAGGATGGTGACTATATTGGTGGCCACCCTTGTAGCACCTCCACATTAGACATCAGTATCGTTGGACAAAATCTGTGCCATCAGTCTTGGATGTCAACACCCCCATGGGGACATCAGCAGCAACAAAAAGAACAGCCTGACTGGTGATCTCAAATATTCCTTGCTACTTATTAGCATGGCAATTATCAAAGGCAAAGCATCCTAAAAAAAGAAGAGGGTAATTGCAGATACCAGATACCAGAGTCAACATAGGAGCTAATTATTGATGCAAACTCAACAGTAAGAATAGTCCCATAATACCATCTGAGAAGAACTTAAGTCAAATTACAATTCTCAAAGCATAGATCAGTGTAACAGAAAAAATCAACTTAATATCTTTTTCTTATTTTTCCTGCTAATATTTCTTCGGAAGAATGTGTCATATAAGTTATCTCAATTACTGCTTATAGCCACACTGTGAGGTAAATATTTTCACTCAGATATGGTTTTATGTCCCCGCCCAAATCTCATGTTGAATTGTAATCCCCAGTGTTAGAGGAGGGACTTGGTAGGAGGTGGGAGGTGTGAGGTGACTGGATCATGGGGGCAGATTTCCCCTATGCTATTCTCATGATAGTGAGTTCTCATGCGGTCTGATTGTTTAAAAGTGTGTAGCACCTCCCCCTTCCCTCTCTCTCCTGCTCCAGTCATGTGAGACATGCCTCCACTTCGCCTTCTCCCATCATTGTAAGTTTCTTGAGGCCTCTCCAGCCATGCTTCTTGTATAGCCTAATATGTACTCCTATTCTCATTTGACAGATAAGAAGACAAAATGTCAAGCAGGATGAAAAAGTCGTTCAATGAAACACAGCTATTAAGTGGCTGACCTAGTAAGTGTTATGTATAAGTGACTCATCCGCCATAGCTTCTAGGACTCAACTTTAGGATCATCGTCATATGCAATCTGGAGCTAGCCATATTTAAAGAGCTAGGAAGGAGGCACAGTGATTGACAATCTCCTTTCTTCTCAACTAGAATGTCATTTCCCTTTTTAAAACTAACTTAAATCCCATCTACCTTCAATTGCTTGTCTAAAATAAAACACAAGTCCTCTCTTAAAGACTTTAACAATGTTATATAGCAGAGTTCATCTTTTCTTTCTTCACAGAAAGCATCATGAAAACATGTTTTCAGGACATTAATAACTTGATCCTCACAAGAAACCTTTAAATTTGGACACAAGGAATTCATAACTACATTTTATGTATATGAAGAAAGTAAGCCCCAGAGAATTCCAAGAGCCTGTTCAGGATAGTCTGCTTCAGAGCCATGGCTCTCAAAGTACCTCAGGATCTCCAGAGCAGCTCTTTTGTGGGAGCCAAAATTGTGCATTTCTAACTTGGTCCCAGGTGATACTTGTGCTGGGGCTGCTAGTCTACACTTAACTCTATTCACTTTTTTGTGTTTTCTTAGGATAAAGAAAATATTTAGAAAATGAGATTCCTGTGTTTCTGGCTTTAATGTTAAGAATTTTGTCTGAAAAAGAAGCATAGACATTTAGAAATTTTGTATTTTTACATTTTTATAGATAAACTCATTGGATTATCTGTTTTTCATCTTGGAACACACTATCAACATTTTCTTTAGAAGATGTATAGGATAGGTGGCTTTCAGCGGGAAGAAAGTGTCCTAACTGAAAACCTCAAGGAAGATAGGGCGCGTGGAAATAAAGACCATTCAAATGAAAACAAACATAAGCCATGTATTCAGAGCTTGCTACAGCAAGGGCATCAGTGCCACCACTTCAATTTGGCAGAGGCTGAAAGGCAGACAAAGCAGTGGGAAAGCTTTAGAGTGGAGAAAAGGAAAGGTGTTAGGCATCTTCCAATTGAGGTCATTGTCATGATGGCATTGGAGTCAATGGAGGTAGGCTAGCCAAGAGTGAGACATCTTCTGTGATTGGTTTGGGGACCATTTTAGCTTTCTCTGGTGGGTTCTGAAACAGAAAAAAAGAAAAAAATAAGATGAAAATAGGGAGGCTGGCAGTTGTTGACCAAATTGTGACCATTCTGAACCAATCTTAAGAGATTGTAACTGGTTTCCTGCAATGGTTGCTGCAGAGTCTGTGGGTCAGAGTTCTGTTTATTACACATAGACTGACCATTGTCTGTTTCTAATTCAGTTTCTCAAGAGCTTACAAGGATGTCAGCAAAAACAAGTCATCTCTGACTCCACAGTGAACTTATCCACTAAGCACACGTGACCTACCGTCAAAGGCCCATGATACTTTTAGGGACCCATAAGAACATTTTAATTTCTTCTAAAATCAGGAAAAAAAAATGAACTTCAGATTTTTAAATGTTTTAGTGCATAATGTCAATATATTTATTCCAACTCAATATTCTGAGAATTTAAATGTTGTATATGATATGGTTGGTAAAGACTGTGTATTAATAGGAGGAAATGAGAAGGAGGTTTGGAAGAAAGAAGTTCATCATACTCAAAGGGCTCAGAGAGGGGTCATCTCATGCTATGCAGGGATACAGAGAAGGCATGGGTGTCAGTCAGAAGGCAGAAAGGAGCAAGGAGAAAGCATTAGACCACAGGCTTTATTGGATTTTCCATAGGAAAAACAGGGCAGAGCAAACAGTTTAAAACAGGCTTGCTTTAAAAATTCTGGCTGGGCTTTGAGCTATAAGGATGGCCTCCATTTGAGTGATACTTGGCCCTAGGATAATTTAAGTCAGGGCAAACATTGGCTTGGTGTGTGAGAGCTAGATAAGGAAGTAATTAATGGATTGGTTGGTTTACATATGAAAGGCCTGCATTTCTAGGCAAATTGTTATTACCTTTAGGAATTAGCTATCCCTGGGAGAAGGAGTTTCTCCGTGGTCTACAAGGCTCCCAAATGCCAGAACAAGAAGAATATAGATAATAATAAAATATTATAAATTCAATATTGGCCTTGTGAAGAATCGATGCCAAATAGACAAATACAGAATTTGAGAAAACACAATTAGAACATTAAGTAATGAAATAAATTTTTAATATTTCTTTGTGGATGAAAAGGTCCAAGAAAGTCATAATACAGCCCCTCTTGGCTGCAGCCTGTACGAAAGTTCAGTTCAGTGAAGGGTTTGAATGGTGTGGGAGAAAAACTTCCAAGCAGATAAGGTTGAACGGAGTGGCACCACAACTTCTAACCATTGCCCCTGCGGGTTCTTAAAACCACCTTCCTAATTTGTTTTGTTGATCTTATTTGTTTTGTTGATCTGCTCCTAGTACTTGTCCCTGAAAATTGCCTTTAGCATGTAGACACTGATTTTCTGGCCTCTACATAGTTCCCGTTCTCAGGCTTCTTTCTTAAAGCCAACCCTGACCTTTGTCTTGACATTACTGCCCTGGTTACGGTGGTAATGTGCTGAACACATAATACCAAGAATAATGAGTATTTGTGTTTTTTTTTTTAAAAACAGAACCTAAAATTTTTCTGAACTTGCACTTATAATTTCATTAACTACTCAACAAATGATATTTATTATTACCAAAGAGAATACTAAATTACATTAATTTTTATTATATGCTTTATGATTTGTATTAACTATTATACATTAATACAGTTAGGAATATATACTGCTACAAACAGGCATAATGGAGTTTTTTTGAGAAGTTTTGTATTTTATTATGTGCTCTTCCATTTAATTTGGATTATATTGCTTTCATATTATAGCTTATCTGGTCTTTCTGTTTCACGATACACATAGAATATCAGTTCTAAATTACTAAAATATTTAAAGAAAATGTTTAGTTCAGACACTGTACCTCACTGTGATCACAGAGCTTTAGTCATTGACTGAGGTCTTGAAAGTCACCATCTTCTTGTTTTTTTTCTTGCAGAAGAAATGTCAAGTTATACTTCTTTACTCTACAGGTTTCAGAGAATATTTGTTTTCAGATAAGTAGCTTGGAGTTTACCCTTTAGATATTCAAATAAACACAGCACCATTTTCAGCCTTTCGACTTTCTTCTCAAAAACTTTCAGGAGCTCAGCAGCAGGAAGTCCCCAGTTTTTGGAGAAAGAACTTGAGTATTTTAAATGTTCTTGAAGCTCTGAAATCACCAAGGCCACTGTGTAGAAAGGATTCCTGATTCTTTCTATAGAAAATGGCAATTTGCAGTCAATCCCAATGGGGCAATGAGTGAGAATAGCAAAGAAAGAAAAAAAAAGTTATGACTTTATCTCAATGAACTATTAGGAAAGTGTTCGAGACATACCACTAGCTAAAAAAATGATTTTAAGTAAAATAGACAAATGTCTTCATCAAAAAAAATTTCTTCCATGCACTGTCTAAGATCACAGGAAGAGAACGAGGAAGGTGAGCAGATGAGGCAGATTAGAAAGTAGGTAGTATAAATAACATTAGATGGTTCTTCAATATTTTAGAGCCTCCCTTATTTATCGCTGATAGAACCTTGATTTGTTCGGAGTTCTTCTGTCCCCAAGCAGTGAATCAAAACTCACCTGGCTCATTATGACAAGCCTTTTCTCTCTCAGACTGCCTAGGAGCTAGGGTTGGCCAACTGAAGGAGCTAGGGTTGGCCAGTTGAGTTCTTCTGCATTTAAGGGGCTGACTGCAGGAAGGACTTCTAGGAAAGGTTTTGCTTTTCTGGTAATTAACGAGGTCAAGTAGAATGACTATCCACTCATTTCTTATCTTCTACCAGCTCTTTGCTTAGAACAGTGGACCCAGTGCTTATGGCTGCATCACCATTTTCATTACCAGTTCAAGAACAACAGAAGCTAAACCACTGTCAGTGGCTACCTAACTCAATCTTGTTATATAACTACAAAAATGATGTCCTTGCTTTTAAAGCCTTTATAAGTCAGGAATTTTTTAAACTGGCATTCAAATATATTTCTAACTAGTACAATGTAGCCCCATCTCAGTTCATTTATGTCAGCCGCACATCTATATTGGGCATCTGAATAACATTTAAGAAAGTTTCATTGCTTAAAAAATTTTGAAAACACTATATATGGCAATATCTATGTTCTCCCAAATTTGCTTACCTATAACTCAATGCACTGACAAAGCCAACAAAATAAATAAAAAGCCATTCATATATTTTATTATTATGGACTGGAGGAAGAGAGATTGCAGGTAGTGGTTGGAGACTGGGTTCAGATTATAATGGGTTAAGGAATAAATGGATGCCGAGAAAGTGGAAATAATCTTGCCCAGGCTGGTCTTGAACTCCTGGGCTCAAGTCATCTGCCCACCTTGGTGTCCCAAAGTGCCTGCATTAAAGGTTTGAGCCACCATGCCCAGCCCCAGATGTTCTAGTTCTTGAAGACACTGCCAATATTTTAGATGAAATACATCCAATAAAAATAAAATATGCAAATAGAGGGCAAGCAGGTAAGATATTACATATTTTTTAACAACACACAAATGCAGATACGCAAATTTACAGTACTTTCATAAAGTATTCAAGATAAAGCAATAAGAAGAAAGTTTTTTTTAATCCACACTATAATTTAATGTAGGAATATTTTCTACAAATAACAAGTCTGACAATATGTTCATAATATCCTCTTCTAAGAACTTTTTACACTTCTTTTCTACTAGAAAAGTTTTAACTTTGAAAACTGCAAGTAGTATTTTTCTTCCTGAAACCTCTGCAGTGGTAGTAATGCATTGAAGTTTGATTAAAAGGTCAGTTAATGCAAACATAAATCCCTTAAAATATTTACAGCACACAAGTTTCAACTCATCTTGTATTTATAAGACAACATTTTAAAATGAATATCTCTTAAGAATGGAGGCTATTATGTTGAGCAATGCCTTCCTTTCCCAATAGAGTACTGGACAAGCTGAATATATAAATCTGCTTTATGTTACTGTATCAATGGCTGATGTTCAATGGACTTTTGGTATTAGGGCTATAAATATCTGACAAAGAAATAAACATCATGTGGAAGGAAATTGACTATAACTAAGGGAGGTGCTCTGAATAGGCCTCCATGGAATTATCTGCTCAATCTTTGAGACTTGGTTTTGGCGTTGTTACTTTTGAGAGTGTAATGATTTTTCCTATACGGTTGGCGCTTTGAAAGGACTTCAGGGGTGTACCTGTGTCCTCATCATCCACACTGGTGGTTATCAAGCCTGTTGTTAAAGCTTATGTGTAATGATGATCCATAATTTAATTTAAACATGTTAAACTAACCACGATGAGGGTGATTTTTATAACCCTCCTCTTTCCCCAATAAAGTGTGTCCATATATTTCATTTTGTCTGTCTTGAAGGTTACAAATAATAATCACAATACTCAAGCTCACTCTTTTCTTTCTTCCCCTCTCTCCTTTCCTCCATCCCTTTCTCTGCACTTCTCATTTGAATAGGGAAGGAAATATTTACCACCACCTACCATACATTGATATTTAGGAAGACCAAAGCTGGAATTAAAATCCTGAGCAGGGGTTCCCATAATTAATGATTACAGGTGTGAGGGTTTCTCAACCTGTGTGTGTGTGGGGGGGGGGGGTGTATGTGTGTGTGGTTTTTGCTTTTTCATCCTTGCCATCCTTTCATCATTCAAGGAGCCATATTTCATATTCTATTTGCATAAGCAAGGAAAACATTAAACAATTCCTGGAGATATAAGTAATCAAGTGTTATACCACGAAGTTTTGATAATAAAGATTAAAGATAGGGCAGTAAAACAGTACAAAGAAAAGCTTTGTAGTGGACATAGAACTTGTCCAGGACGTTGGACAATATGTCTGGTTAGAGAGGTGGCAAAGGGCAGAAGATTAAATACATTAAGGAGTCTGTTTCTTCCTGTTAATTTACTGGTTATTTCTGCCACGATAAAATGATAGAGAATATCACCACAGAGTGGCTTGCTTCTAAGGCAGCATGGTTTCATGCAGAGGATCTAAACTGGGGATCATGTGCTGGGCTGCAAAAGGGCTGTGCAGTGCCTAAAAGGTTATGCAAAATTTTATAAAGGTAAGCATTTCTTTCTGGAGAAGGATACACCCAATAGAATACTGTTTATGAAAATGTGATCTAACTACATTCTACTCCAGCATATCTCCTTTATAAAGTGCAGAAAACTAAGGCCTATTCGAGTGCAATGTTTGGTCTATTGTCATAGATAATAAGTAATTGATTCTGAATCACCCCTAGATCTCTGTTGTTTCATCGATGCATCCTCATACCCACAACTTCATTTGGTGGTACACGCTCTGGGTCATTGCATTAGTTTCTTAAGATCACTGTAACAAAGTACGAAATATTAGGCAGCGTAAAATAATAAAAATTAATTCTCCCATAGTTGTGGAGACCAGAAGTCTGAAATTAATGTGTCAGTAAGGCACTGCTCCCTCTGAGGCTCTGGGCAGATTTTTTTTTTTTTTTGCCTTTTTTTTTTTTTTTTTTTTTTTAGCTTCTGATGATGCTCATCAAACCTTGGTGTTCCTTGACTTGCAGCTGCATCACTCCAGTCTCTCCCTGTGCCATTATATGGCGTTTTTCCCTGAGCCATCTCTGTCATCACATGACATTTTCCTCTTCTTATAAGGACAGTAGTCATATTGAATTAGCGTTTATCCTAATAATTTTATGTTAACTTAATTATATCTGAATATCCATTAAGGTCACATTCACAGTTACCAAGAGTTAAGAGGTAAGCATATCTTTTGGAGAGAGACAATTAAACTATAGATTTCTCTCCATTTTTCTCCTTAAAATAACTCTTGCCCTCTATTTTCATAAAGCTATTATTCCAAAAATAATTGAATTCATTCTGCTCAAACTCCATCGACTGAAGTTAAGGTCAATCATTTTTCTAAGTCATCAGCAAATCATTCAGAATTGTAAGAGTGTATGAGGTGCCATTGTTCTATATTTTGAACTGTAGCCAAACTTGGAGAGCCACTAAATGGGCTCCCGTATGTTGACTCTGAATCATTCATAAGTAGTCTCTTGAACTGCCACACAACTGACATCTGACATAAATAAACAACCACATTTTTCTGGCTTGTTTACGAGCATGTCTTGGGGAGCAAAGTCAAAGCCTTCCTGAAGGAAAGATATATTACACCTATTGCTTTTCCCATCTACAAAGCTAGTGACTCTGTCACAAAAGAAAATTAGATTGGTCTAACATTATTTCTTCCTACGGCCAACTTGACTGCTCTCCAATACTCTTCACTAATTTAGGGATCCAAAGTGTAAAAACACACATAGATATAACATTCTGCTTAAAATGTAAAACTTGCTCAAATTTTATGCACTATCTCCTTAAAATATAGCTATTTTGATCCTCTTGGATAAATGGGAATTGTTGACCTGTTTGGCCTTGATGAGAAACTTTACAATACTCATGGAAAATTGCAAATTTCAGATAATCTTGATCCACAAAAAGAACCCATCACTTCAGCCTGTTATTTCTTTAAATTCCCCTGAAACTCTCTTGAGACCATTTGTTGAAATGTGTAATAGAAACTAATATAAAGATGTGGTATTAATATACTGATTTCCTTTGGGTTATATATCTAGCAGTGGGACTGCCAAATCACATTGCAGTTCTATTTTTAGCTTTTCAAGGAACCTCCATACTGTTCTTCATAGTGGCTATACAAATTTACATTCCCAACAGTGTATGAGGGTTCCCTTTTCTCTACATTCTCACCAGCATTCTTTATTGCCTATCTTTTGGATAAAAGCCATTTTAATTGGAGTGAGATGATATCTCATCATAATTTTGATTAGGTATCTGCACTCCCATGTTTACTGCAGCACTATTCACAATAGCCAAGATTTGGAATCAATCTAAGTGTCCATCAACAGATGAATGGAAAAAGAAAAACATGGTACATTTACACAGCGAAATACTATTCGGCCATAAAAAAAAAAAAAAAAAAAAAAAAAAAAAAAAAAAAAAAAAAAAAGAGATCTTGTCATTTGCAACAACATGGATGGAACTGGCTGACATTAAGTGATGTGAAATAAGCCAGGCACAGAAAGACAAACTTCACATAATAGCACTCATTTGTGGGAGCTATAAAGTAAAACAATTGAACTCTTGGAGTTAGAGAGTAGAATGATGGTTATCAGAATCTGAGAAGGGTAGTAGAGTGAGGAAAGTGCAGATAGTTAATGAGTACAAAAATATAGTTAGATAGAATGAATAATATCTAGTATTTGATAGCACAATAGGGTAACTACATCTAACAAGAATTTATTATACATTTTAAAATAACAATACAGTATAATTGTAATGTTTGCAACACAGAGAAATAAACAATTGAGGTGATAAAGGCACAATTTACCCTGATGTGATTATTACACATTGTATGCTTGTATCAAAATATCTCGTGTACCCCATAAATATATATATCTATTATGTACAAATATTAAAAATAAAATATTTTTAAGGGAGCCCCAAAAGTTAGAAGAAAAAACAAACTCAACAG